GAGGACTTGGGAGGAGATGCAGAAATACCTGAAGATATCAAGCCCAGCTCCTTGAGGACTACCAACGAGAGTGGGAAGAGAAAGTGGAAGAAAATTTCTGATAGTGAAGGGAAAGAAAAGGACACAACTGATAAACATGAACCAAAAAGACAAAGTTATAACAAAGTAACAGAAAAGATGTAATTTCAATCAAAAAAAAGCTTCAATTCAAATCTGATAGCAATGCAACAGTCCTATTGAGGAGCAAAGTGGATTTAGCAAAAACTTTCAGATAACAACATAAGCACCCTCTCCTGTCATCAACAGGTAAATGAATGTTCCCAATCCTAGTATTGAGCATAATTGAGGTGGGGCACCTGCTCCTCCTCTTGAAATTAATTCTCACGTGAGGTATAATGCATGTTCTTATCTCAAAGTGGATGATTATTTTTTTACTCGTGACTTAAATCACTAATACGTAGGTACTTGTAAAATAAAGTTTTATTTGCTATACTGCCACAAGATGTATATCCCATTAATAAAATTAAATATTTTTGATTTACTTAATGCTTTATCACTGTATAGTCTCTTTACATTTTTGGGTCTTCTTTTAAGTATATTATAGAATTTCAAATATTAAAGGTTATTAGTTTTACATTCACATTAGATATGCAAAGAATAGCTATTGACCATTTCCAAAGCTGATAATAAGAGAAATAACACAGTATTTACACTGTCCAGTTAAGGCTTATTTTCCCCAGCTGTGCTTAACATGCTAAGCTTTGGTGATGGAATTTAGGAAATCTGCATCTCTCTAAACCCAGCAGCTTTGGATTATTTTTTCAGTGCCTGATTTTTAAGCTTTTTTTAGAATCTGAGATCAAATATTTTGATCACCTCAAGCAGTTAAAAAAAAGATACTAGAACATATACCTACATCTATGTTATTGTGTTTATGGTTATTGTAGGATTTCCACCAAATATTTTGAATACGTATCTCATCTACAGTTAAGAAAAGCAAAATGTAAAAAGTAGAACTTCTACATCAGGAAAAAAGTAGAGTTAAAGGACAGTAATTATTATTAAGGTTCTGCATTGGGTGAAATATTGTAAATATGTTCTGGAATAGGGTAGTGTGATTAAATGGACCATCGTTGAGCCATCATTGTTAGTAAAGAGAGTATATTTAAAAAATATATTTGTTCATTGAGAATGAAATGAATTTTGTAATAGCTTTTTATTAGAAATGAGGCAAACAAAATTCTTACAGCCTTCCATGTGAAGCAAGTAAGCAATTGGTAGTATACTTAAAACCAACAGTTCGTTACTACATTTCATTGGTATAAAATACAGGACGAACTGAATATATATTTTTAGAAGAGTTCAGGCATCTAGAGCCCTGTGATCACAAACAGAGAAACTCAAGAGGTTCATGGCACCATTGCTGCTGCAACATAAGCAGAGGCACACATTAACTATTTAAGTACTGTAACTGAGCTTTGTAGGTCTTAGACAGGGAGTTAATGTCACCATGGTTGTTTAATATATTGATAGATGGGTTCGTAAAAGAAGTAAGTGCTAGGGTGTTCGGGAGAGGGGTGGGATTAAATTATGGGGAACAAATACTAAATGGGAATTGACACAGTTACTTTTTGCTGATGATACTGTGGCTTATGGAGTTTCTAAAGAAAAATTGCAAAGGGCAGTGGATGATTTAGGTAGCGTGTGTAAAGGTAGAAAGTTGAAAGTGAACATAGAAAAGAGTCAGGTATGAGGGTATCAAATGATTTAGATAAAGAAAAACTGGATATCAAATTGGGGACGCGGAGTAATGGAAGAAGTGAATGTTTCTTCAGATAGTACTTTGGAGTTGACGTTTCGCGGATGGATTTATGAATTATGGTTTAATCTAGAATTGATGAAGAAAAAAAAGGTGAGTGGTGCGTTGAGTTATATGTTGGAGTCAAAAAAAACGTTATCGAGGGAGGCAAAGAAGGGAATGTATGAAAGTATTAGTATACGCAACACTTATATGGGTGTGAAGCTTGTTGTGAATGCAGGCAGCGAGGTGGTGGTTGGAGGCAGTGGAAATGTCCAGTCTAAGCAATGTGTGGTTAAATATTATGCCAGAAAATTCGGAGTGAGGAAATTAGGAGAAGGTGTGGATTAATAAAAGTATTAGTCAGAGGGCTGAAAGGGGTTGTTGAGGTGGTTTGGTCATTTAAGAGAATGGATCAAAGTAGAATACATGGAAAGAGCATTTAAAACTGTAGAGAAGGATGGCGGGGTAGGGTCGTTCCTCGAAAGGATGGAAGCAGGGGTGAGGGAGGTTTTGTGGGGCGAGGGGCTTGGACTTCCAGCAGAGGTGTGCCAGAGCGTGTTTATAGAGGAATGGAGACGAATGTATTTGGGATCTGACAGATCTTGTTGGAATGTGAGCAGGGTAATATTTAGTGGAATGATTCAGGAAAACCGGTTATTTTTATAATGCCGGACTTGAGTCCTGGAAATGGGAAGTACAATGCCTGCACTCTAAAGGTAGGGTATTGGGATAGTAGCAGTTGGAGTGGATATGTTGTGTTCTTTATACGTAATATGCTTCTAAACTCTTAAACTTTGTGTTCTATGAGTGGCACCTCTTGCAAAAACAGTGTTATGGCGTGAGTGAGGTGAAAAGTGTTGAAAGATATGAAAAGGATTTATTCTTTTGGGGATTTTCTTTGTTTGGTCACCCTGCCTCAGTGGGAGACGGCCGAATTGGTTGAAATAAAAAAAAAAACGGTGTTCCAATCTGATACTGGATTGCATAGCTAAAATAATTATTTTAGAAGTATATTGATTCCTGGAGAAGAAATTATTAATAGAGCAATTACCGTATTATTTATATCTGTCTCAGAAGCTTATGAGTGCTTGTGGCATTTGATTGTTTTCAATAAAAATAGTCTGGTATAGTGGTCCTTGCCTGTTAATTGCATGTTGTAACTTGGCTTTTTCATCTGATTATGTTTCTTCTTAAATATTTATCTTATGCAACTGGCTAAATGGACTTAATATGCACTTATGCAAAAGTTGTCTGGAGTCTTTTTATTGCATTTTTATATTCTTTGCCAAAAAGAAATTTTCTTTGCTCTGACCCTGTACATATGTCTCATGTCTTGATCCCAAATTTGTGAGTGCTATTATTTGGGGTTTTCACATTTAATCCTGTTGCCTAGGAGTCAGTAAATATTTTACTCTTACTTTTGTTCTATTTTTATATTTAACATATTTGTTTTTTGCAGAGAGTAATGAAGATAGAGTGGAAAAAGTTGATGCCATCTGATGCTGCAAACTCACATGCCTCGACCTCGTCCAATAAGAGCAACAAGACTGAAAAATCTGATGATTCTAAGTGAGATTTTGATAAAAAAAAAAATAATTGCGACTGCCAGTAAATGTTAATATGTTATCCCTTTTTAAATTAGTTTAACTAACGGGTTCTTCTTGTTTCCATCTAGATAATCAGAAAAGAGGTTGTGGCAGAGACAGTGTATGGTATGTCTTGGTTATTTAAATTTAACTACAGTGGAACCGTCGGCCTACGAGTTTAATCCGTTCCGTGAACCTTGCTCGTAACACCGATCTCGTAGGCTGAGTGCCAATTTTCCTCATTTAAATTAATTGGAATTCCATTAATCTGTTCCAGCAGAATCCTGCTTTGGTAGGCAGAACAAAATACGTACTTCAATATGATGCTACTATCATCTCTAAACGGCTTAATTTTCATCACAGTTTATCTAATGTGTTCATAATAAACAATATAAAAATAGAAAAACCTGATATATACTCTAGAATGAATAAAGTATGTCAATGTGACAAAATGGGTGGTGGCTATTCCCTACTCAAGCAGCTGCCTTGTGGTGGTCAGCCGGGGAGACTTCCCGTCATCCCCTGCCATCCTACCCGACACTCCCGACGTCACCATTCACTTTGTGACTACGTGATATCAGTTCAATTTCTCTCCTACAGCTAGCTGTGTGTGTGAAATGTGTTCTTGCTGTTTTAATTACCATACTTTATCTTCCAAGCAATCCAATGACACCCAGTAGGGAAACCAGTGTGTGCTGACTTACTGAATGACTGACTTTTGAATGACTTACTGACCAGACTGACTGACTTGACTAACGACTTGACTGACTGTCTGACTGACCTGACTGACGGATTTACTGACTTGACTGCCTGAATGACTTAAGTTAGGGGCTTTTTCCTCTGAAGAGGACACTGATATGGTGGTCTAGAGCAGCTGATGCCGGATCTGTCAGTATGTATAATTACTGCAGGTTAATAGAACAGAAATCCATTCAGAATTTATGCACACTCCAGTACAACCATCGACTTCAGTACCAGAACCTCTAGTTATCCACCTCAGCCCAGTAGGGCCACAGCATAACTTTTCACTCTTCACAAGTCTTCGACTAACACCAGCACCTGGTTGCTTACTCCCGTTCAGATTCTAATAAGGAATCTGCCCCCCCCCCCACACACACACACTCATCCTGCGCTTCCTTCACTCCTATAAGATATAAGATATCCCTGGGCCAGTGCAGGAAATTACCACCTCCCTTTCTTCATCGACAGTTGAAATGTTCCCCTCAAAATATTCCCGCCATCTACCCATACTCCAGCTCCTATCTAGTCACTCCCCTACTTTGTTTAAACTGACAATCTATTCATTCCCTAGGACTTTCTTAACTTGTTTATTTTTTTTTTATTTTTAATTTATCTACTCTGGCTCGATTCCCCACCAATGCAGGGTGGCCCGTAAAAGAAAAATTTTCACCATCATTCACAATCCATTACGTCTGCCAGAAGGTGCTTTACAGTACATTTTTTAAACTGCAACAATAACCCTCACCCCCTCCTTCAGAGTGCAGCACTGGACTTCCCATCTCCCTGACTCAGTCCGCCTGCCGGTTTCCCTGACCCCTGCCTAAATGTGACTTTGCTCTCAATCCAAAGAGCACCGTCATATGAAAAAACTTGCCTATTTGAAATTGCGGGGCGAGCTCCAGCTCCTTGCCCTTCATCTTAGCTTTCAGCCAGATGATTGAGCCCTCTCATGTCTATTTTTAAACCCTTTTATGAAGTTTGCATCCTCTCTGCCATTATTCAGCTCATTCCACTTTACTATGTAACAAACCACCACCTGAAGTCCAATGTTAATTTTTCAATGTATGATGTCAAAATCAGAAATATACACAACCGACATGTGGGAGACTGAAGCTTTTAAAGATGTTATGTCATAGGTTTGTCTCCTGTGTGCAGAAGACTAAAACTTATGATGTGTTTGTCTCTTACATGTGGGTTTTTTTGTGTATTGTTCCAGTACCAGTATTGTACCTCTTTGTTCTTCGAAATGAGAAACATGGTCATTGTGAATGTACTAGCTTCCCCCTGGACAAAATAAAGTACAGTAGCAGATGCCTTATCAGAGATGTTTGCATAATCATTTGTTATATGGCAGGAGGAATATTTTGCTGATAGAAGACAAATGATTACATACAGTAATTTATCTTCCTGAAGACATAAGTGAAATCCTGAAATATTTTTCAAGGCTTTTGCTGAAAGCTTTAGATGATACAGACAGAATATAACTGGTGAGAATTCTGAGCTTGTTGTATTTCATTAGGATGCTAATTGCTGAAATATTTAGATTTTTGTTGAATAATTGTAATTAGTGCATTGGCAATGTATTCAGGCATCTCTCTAATTTTTCTTAGTAATATAAAAGCATATGGCTTGGGAATTTGTTGCCTATTCTTATAATTGTCATATTAAGTTGCTGAGATATTGTGTAGTATTTGTAAAATAAACATAGCAGGTATAGTAACAGTAGTTAGTGTGCTGGTGCCCCCTCCCATCCTAGCAGATGAGGACTTTGGAGGAGATGCAGAAATACCTGAAGATATGCAAGCCCAGCTCCTTGAGGACTACCAACGAGAGTGTGAAGAGAAAGGGAAGAAAATTTCTGATAGTGAAGGGAAAGAAAAGGACACAACTGATAAACATGAACCAAAAGACAAAGTTATAAACAAAGTAACAGAAAAAGATGTAATTTCATCAAAAAATAGCTCAAATTCAAAATCTGATAGCAATGCAACAGTCCTATTGGAGGAGCTCAAAGTGGATTTAGCAAAAACTTCAGATACCACCAGTAAGCCCTCTCCTTCATCAACAGGTAAATGAATGTTCCCAATCCTAGTAATGCATAATTGAGTGGTGCACCTGCTCCTCCTCTTGAAATATTTCTCACGTGATATAATGCATTTCTTATCTCAAAGTGGATGATTATTTTTTTACTGTGACTTAAATCACTAATACGTAGTTACTTTTAATAAATTTTATTTGCTATTACTCCACAAGATGTATATCCCATTAATAAAATTAAAATTTTTGATTTACTTAATGCTTTATCACTGTATAGCTCTTGTACATTTTTTGGTCTTCTTTTAAGTATATTATAGAATTTCAAATATTAAAGGTTATTAGTTTTACATTCACATTAGATATGCAAAGAATAGCTATTGACCATTTCCAAAGCTGATAATAAGAGAAATAACACAGTATTTACACTGTCCAGTTAAGGCTTATTTTCCCCAGCTGTGCTTAACATGCTAAGCTTTGGTGATGGAATTTAGGAAATCTGCATCTCTCTAAACCCAGCAGCTTTGGATTATTTTTTCAGTGCCTGATTTTTAAGCTTTTTTTAGAATCTGAGATCAAATATTTTGATACCTCAACAGTTAAAAAAAAGATACTGACATATCCCTACATCTATGTTAATTGTGTTTATGGTTATTGTAGGATTTCCACCAAATATTTTGAATACGTATCTCATCTACAGTTAAGAAAAGCAAAATGTAAAAAGTAGACTTCTACATCAGGAAAATAAGTAGAGTTAAAGGACAGTAATTATTATTAAGGTTCTGCAATTGTGACATTTTGTAAATATTTCTGGAATAGGGTAGTTGAGTAAATGTGACCATGGTTGAGCCATCATTGTTAGTAAAGAGTATATTTAAAAAATATATTTGTTCATTGGAGAATGAAATGAATTTGTAATAGCTTTTTATTAGAAATGAGGCAAACAAAATTCTTACAGCCTTCCATGTGAAGCAAGTAAGCAAGTTGGTAGGTATACTTAAACCAACAAGTCGGTTACTACATTTCATTGGTATAAATACAGGACTGGAACTGAATATATATTTTTAGAATAGTTCAGGCATCTTAGAGCCCTTGATCACAAACAAGAGAAACTCAAGAGGTCATTCACCATTGCTGCTGCAACATAAGCAGAGCACATTAACTATTTAAGTACTGTAACTGAGCTTTGTAGGTCTTAGACAGGGATGTGTAATGTCACCATGGTTGTTTAATATATTTATAGATGGGGTCGTAAAAGAAGTAAGTGCTAGGGTGTTCGGGAGAGGGGTGGGATTAAATTATGGGGAATCAAATACAAAATGGGAATTGACACAGTTACTTTTTGCTGATGATACTGTGCTTATGGGAGATTCTAAAGAAAAATTGCAAAGGTTAGTGGATGAGTTTGGGAGCGTGTGTAAAGGTAGAAAGTTGAAAGTGAACATAGAAAAGAGTAAGGTGATGAGGGTATCAAATGATTTAGATAAAGAAAAACTGGATATCAAATTGGGGAAGAGGATAGGAAGAAGTGAATGTTTTCAGATAGTACTTTGGGGTTGACGTGTCGGCGGAGGGATTTATGAAGATGAGGTTAATCATAGAATTGATGAAGAAAAAAAAGGTGAGTGGTGCGTTGAGGTATATGTGGAGTCAAAAACGTTATCTATGGAGGCAAAGAAGGGAATGTATGAAAGTTTTAGTAGTACCAACACTTATATGGGTGTGAAGCTTGGTTGTGAAGCAGCAGCGAGGTGGTGGTTGGAGGCAGTGGAAATGTCCTGTCTAAGGCAATGTGTGGTGTAAATATTATGCAGAAAATTCGGAGTGTGGAAATTAGGAGAAGGTGTGGAGTTAATAAAAGTATTTTGTCAGAGGGCTGAAAGGGTTGTTGAGGTGGTTTGGTCATTTAGAGAGAATGGATCAAAGTAGAATGACATGGAGAGCATTTTTAAAACTGTAGGGGAAGGATGGCGGGGTAGGGGTCTTTCCCCGAAAAAGGTTTGGAAGGAAGGGGTGAGGGAGGTTTTGTGGGGGGAGGGGCTTGGACTTCCCGCAGGTGTGCATGAGCGTGGGTTTTATAGGAGTGAATGGAGACGAATGTATTTGGGATCTGACGATCTTTTTGGAATGTGGAGCCAGGGTAATATTTAGTGGGAAGGATTCAGGGAAACCGGTTTTTTTTTATATAGCCGGACTTGAGTCCTGGAAATGGGAAGTACAATGCCTGCACTCTAAAGGAGGGGTTTTGGGATATTAGCAGTTTGGAGGGATATGTTGTGTATCTTTATACGTATATGCTTCTAAACTCTAAACTGTTGTGTTCTGAGCACCTCTGCAAAAACAGTGATTATGCGTGAGTGAGGTGAAAGTGTTGAATGATGATGAAAGTATTTTCTTTTTGGGGATTTTCTTTCTTTTTGGGTCACCCTGCCTCAGTGGGAGACGGCCGAATTGTTGAAAAAAAAAAAAAACTGTGTTCCAATCTTGATACTGGATTGCATTAGCTAAAATAATTATTTTATAAGTATGATTGTTTCCTGGAGAAATTATTATAGAGCAGTACCGTATTAATTTATATCTGTCTTTCAGAAGCTTATGTGTGCATGTGGCATTTGATTGTTTCATAAAAATAGTCTGGTATATGGTTCTTGCCTTTATTGCATGTGTAACTTGGCTTTCATCTGATTTATGTTTCTTCTTAAATATTTATCTTTATGCAACTGCTAAATGGGACTTAATATGCACTTATGTAAAAGTTGTCTGGAGTCTTTTTAGTTGCTATTTTTATATTCTTTGAACAAAAAGAAATTTTCTTTCTCTGACCCTGTACATATGTCTCATGTCTTGATCCAAATTTGTGAGTGCTATTATTTGGGGGTTTTCACTTTTAAATCCTGTTGCCTAGGATTCAGTAAATTTTTTTACTCTTACATTTGTTCTATTTTTATATTTAACATATTTTTTTTTTGCAGAGAGTAATGAAGATGAGTGGAAAAAGTTGATGCCACTGATGCGCAAACTCTCATGCCTCTACCTCGTCCAATAGAGCAACAAGACTGAAAAATCTGATGATTCTAAGGTGAGATTTTGATAAAAAAAAATTAATTGCTACTGCCAGTAAATGTTTATCCCTTTTTTTAAATTAGTTACTAACTGGTTCTTCTTGTTTCCACTAGATATCAGAAAAGAGGTTGGGGCAGAGACAGTGTATGGTATGTCTTGGTTATTTAAATTTAACTACAGTGGAACCTCGGCCTACGATTTTTAATCCTTTTCCGTGACCTTGCTCGTATCCCGATCTCGTATGCTGAGTCAATTTTCCTCATTTAAATTAATTGGAATTCCATTAATCTGTTCCAGCAGAATTCCTGCTTTGGGAGGCAGAACAAAATACGTACTTCAATATGATTTCTACTATCAACTCTACGCTTATTTATCATCACAGTTTATCTAATGTGACATAATAAACAATATAAATAATATAGAAAAAACCCGATATATACTCTAGAATGAATAAAGTATGTCATTGTGACAAATGGTGGTGGCTATTCCCTACTCAAGCAGCTGCCTTGTGTGGGTCAGCCGGGGAGACTTCCCCTCATCCCCTGCCATCCCCCGACACTCCCGACATCACCATTCCAGCTTTGTGACTACGTGTTCAGTTCCATTTCTCTCCTACAAGCTAGCTGTGTTTGTGAAATGGTTTTGCTGTTTTAATTACCATATCTTGTATCTTCCAAGCAATCATGACACCCAGTAGGCATACCAGTGTTGCTGACTTACTGAATGACTGACTTTTGAATGACTTACTGACTTGACTGACTGACTTGACTAACTGACTTTTACTGACTGTCTTTACTGACTGACTTGACTGGGTTTACTGACTTGACTGACTGAATGACTTAAAGTTAGGGCTTTTTCACTGAAGAGGACCCTGAATGGTGTCTAGAGCAGCTGATGCCTTACTGTCAGTTGTATAATATACTGCAGGGTTAAATAGAACAGAAATCCATTCAGAATTTATGCACACTCCAGTACAACCATCGACTTCAGTACCAGAACCTCTAGTATCCACCTCACCCCAGTAGGGCCACAGCATAATTTTTCACTCTTCACAGTCATCGACTAACACCAGCACCTGTTGCTTACTCCCTTTCATTCTATATAATGCTCTGCCCCCCCCCCCACACACACACTCATCCTGCTCTTCTTCACTCCTATAAGATTTTAATATCCCTGGCCAGTGCATAAAATTACCACCTCCCTTTCTTCATCGACATTTAAAGTTCCTCAAAATATTCCCGCCATCAAACCCAAATACCTCCAGCTCCCTATCTATTCACTCCCCTACTTTGTTTTTAACTGACAAATCTATTCATTCCCTAGGCTTTCTTAACTTGTTTTTTTTTTTTTTATTTTTATTTATCACACTGGCCGATTCCCACCAAGGCAGGGTGGCCCGAAAAAGAAAAATTTTCACCATCATTCACTCCATTACTGTCTTGCCAGAGGGTGCTTTACACTACATTTTTTAAACTGCAACAATAACCCCCCTCCTTCAGAGTGCAGGCACTGTACTTCCCATCTCCAGGACTCAAGTCCGGCCTGCCGGTTTCCTGAACCTCTTCCTAAATGTTACTTTGCTCACACTCCAAAGAGCACGGTCAAGTATTAAAAAACCATTTGTCTCCATTCACTCCTATCAACACGCTCACGCATTGCCTGCTGGAAGTCCAAGCCCCTCGCACACAAAACCCCCCTTTACCCCCTCCCTCCAACCTTTCCTAGGCCAACCCCAACCCCGCCTTCCTTCCACTACAGACTGATACACTCTTGAAGTCACTCTGTTTCGCTCCATTCCTCTACATGTCCGAACCACCTCAACAACCCTTCTTCACCCTCTGGACAACAGTTTTGGTAATCCCGCACCTTCTCCTAACTTCCAAACTATGAATTCTCTGCATTATATTCACACCACACATTGCCCTCAGACATGACATCTCCACTGCCTCCAGCCTTCTCCTTGCTGCAACTTTTCATAACCCATGCTTACACCCATATAAGGCGTTCGTAAAACTATACTCCATACATTCCCCTCGTTGCCTCCAAGGACAAATTTTCTTTGTCTCCACAGACTCCTAAGTGCACCACACACCCTTTTTCCCCTCATCAATTCTATGATTCACCTCACTTTCATAGACCCATCCGCTGACATGTCCACCCCCAAATATCTGAATACATTCACCTCCTCCATACTCTCTCCCCCAGTCTGATATCCAATCTTTCATCACCTAATCTTTTTGTTATCCTCATAACCTTACTCTTTCCTGTATTCACTTTTAATTTTCTTCTTGCACACCCTACCAAATTCATCCACCAATTCTGCAACTTCTCTTCAAATCTCCCAAAGAGCACAGTGTCATCAGCAAAGAGCAACTGTGACAACTCCCACTTTGTGTGATTCTTTTTCTTTTAACTCCACGCCCCCTTTCCAAAGACCCTCGCATTTACTTCTCTTACAACCCCATCTATAAATATATTAAACAACCACGGTGACATCACACTCCTTGTCTAAGGCCTACTTTTACTGGGAAATAATTTCCCTCTTTCCTACATACTCTAACTTGAGCCTCACTATCCTCGTAAAAACTCTTCACTGCTTTCAGTAACCTACCTCCTACACCATACACTTGCAACATCTACCACATTGCCCCCCTATCCACCCTGTCATATGCCTTTTCCAAATCCATAAATGCCACAAAGACCTCTTTAGCCTTATCTAAATACTGTTCACTTATATGTTTCACTGTAAACATAGGAGGGCCCTGCTTATAATCAGGATAGGTTCTGGGCTACTGCTGTTAAGTGAAAATCACTGTAAAATGAAACATAGTCTTGTTTTACTTTCAAATGCATATAAAAGCCTGATAGCATGTTTACACTATCATATATTAAGTGAGCTATAGAACTAGGCCTAAAAAAATGCATATACAGTGCACACATTACTTGCCATAAAATATTTTTGTTCTTGGGCTATAGTGGGTGGTAAATACTTTTATTGTAGGAAGTCTGAATAAATGAAGAATAGGTGTAATTGAAAACCGCTGCATTAGCGAAATGCTGTTAAGCGGGGTCCTCCTGTAAATAAATTATGAATGAAAAGAGTTTTTACAAAAAAATATTTTAATGTCATTAACATTGTTTCCATTTTCAATTTTTCTGATAAACTACAGGGTGAAGACTGGGAAAACAGGGACTGAGGAGCAAGCAGAAAGGGTTTTACCCCCCGAAACAAACCTTTGTATAAAACTGAGATGGTTCGTTTTGTGGCAAAGCCTTGTTGAACGAAATTTCCTGTATCTTCCTCTTGGCATCTATTGTTTTTTGTTTTTTTTTAAACTTTATAATTTTTATTCACTTGTTTTGTTCACTATTACATCAGACTTTACCGTAGTCATGTGTTTATAAAATGAAAAATTTTAAAAAAAAAAATTTTTTTTTGATGTGAAGGTCCCACTTTTAAATTTTTGTTATCAATTTTATAAATTTTTATCTTATCCCTGACAAGTGCAATCCTTGGCTAAAAAAAACATTTATTTTTTATTATCCATTTTTCCTTAGAAAAAATAATAAAAATAATAATAGAAAACTATACTCGTTTTTTTCATCAAAAAAACAAATAGTGTCATTAAAAAAAAAGTTTTGGCAGTGTGTAAAAGGGAAAAATATAATTGGAGTTTTTCTAAGCTGCATTTTTTACATTTAAAATTATGAATCCTGTCTTAACAAATTAAAATAATTTGTGTGTCCCCAGCACATTTGTGTGCGGCTGCACCGCACATGCATCATCCACCGCGCGTACCCACACACAACACACCACACAACACACACAGACACACAGAAAAACCAAAAAACACACACAACGAACACACACACACACACAAACAACACACAACAGAACACCAAACACACCCCAGACACACACACAGACACAACACACACACACACCAAAAACCAAGACCCACACACACACACCACACACACAGACACACACAACACACACCACACCACACAACCAACACCACAGACACACAGACACACACACACACACACACACAGCACACACCAAAACACACACACAGACACCACCACGACCACACAGACACACACACAGACACACAAAGACACACACACCACACACAACACCACAGACACAACCCCACAACACACACACACACACAAAACAAACACACAACACACACACAGACCCCACACACACCACCCCCAAAACACAAACACACACCACACAAACCACACCCAAAACACACACACACAGCACAACACAAAACAACACAAAACACACACAGACCAACACAGACACAAAACACCCGACACACACACAGACACAAAAACACAGACACAACACAACAGCCAACAAACACAACACACACAACACAACACCACAACACACACACCAGACACAAAAACACAGACACACCAGACACAAAACCAAAAACAGACACACACACAGACACACACAAGACACACAACCAGACAACCAAAACAGACACACACACAAACACACACACACAGACACACCACACAGAACCCCCACACCACGACAACAAAACACAAAGCACCACACACCACACAAAACAACACAGACACAACACACACACACAACACACACCCAAAACCAACCCAAACACACACACACACCAAAACCACAAACCCCCACACCCACAACACGACACAAAACAAAAACAAAAAAAACAAAAAACAAAAATCCCCAGACACAACAAAGAAAAAAATCCCGGGCTAAAAAGAATTTTATGGATATAACATAAAATAGAAGGGGGGAAAGGGAAATTTAAAAAAAAGAGGAATTCAGAAATAGGCATAAAAAGAAAAAAACTACAAGAGACATTTTTCGGGGGGCCCCAATTCCCGTAGATAATCCCCCGAACGAGGAAAAAAAGAGGGAAAAAAAGGGAAAGGAAGGTGGAACACGCTATAAAAAAATTTAGGAAAAAATTGGTTTTGGGGCAAACGGGGGATTGGGAAAAAGGGGGGGACAAG